TATATATTATATATAAATATTATATAATATATATATATATATATATATATATATAATATATATATATATATATAATATACTTCTAGGTTATCTTAAAGATTGTCTGAACAAGAAAACGCCAACGAATGTGAGTACAGTTATGAAATGTAGTAAAGGAGAAACAAAATTAGTGGCAAGTAAGAGCGGAAATACACACGGTAAGAAAATTAATGAATCAGTTATATAGATTAAATAACTGTACGTAATAAGGTAAGTAGAGCTGATATAAAGTTTGTGCAAAAATTATACGTGTGAAAAAATAAGTATATAAGAAAATAAATTAACTAAATTACCACCAAATTGAACAATGTGATTGCAGTACTCAGAAAGCCATAGATACAATAATTTAAAAAACAAGATTATTTACTAGCTTAAACTTCAATAAAATGTATATCACCGGTAAGTCAGCTGTTGTTAAGTCACTGGAAGTCAGCTGACAGTGTCCTGACGAACAAAACCTCACCTCACACTTCCAGTGTGGCGAACACGTTCTTAATTGACAGTGTCAGAAAACATTTTTTTCCGTTTCCTGACAATTAAAAGACCACCTCAATAGTTGGTTATTCACTAAGTCAACCTCTAACAAAGACAAGCGTCAGTAGACACTTTCCTGACGAACAAAATACCACTTCATTAACACTTATATTTTCATCCCGAACTGCAATGTAGTCTTGGGTTGAGTTGCTAAGGCAACAAACAATTGTGTAATGAGTATAAATATAACCTTTGTAAATATACCTGCATGGCTGGGACAGTCATTATCAGTGATTTGTATCACTTGATAAATATTTATGATATATAATATATATATATATATATATATATATATATATATATATATATATATATATATATATATATATATATATATATATATATATATATATATATATATATATATATATAGTGTGTGTGTTTGTGTGTGTGTGTGTGTGTGTCACTTAGAAAAACAAGTCATGCACTAGGAGGCAACTCACAAATTAGCATGAACAGATATTAACCATACGAAGTGTAACATAGTATAATCACAGACAAATGTAAATCAGTGTATAATTATACACAGTTTACTTTAATCCCTATATTCGGGGTTAAACTGTTCTCGACTAGTGGTGAACACAGTGTGGTCGATAGGATTTAAACCCAACTAACCATCCAATTAGGCGGACTGCTGTTAATGGCCACCATTCAGTTGAAACCCATGGATTATTAGGTTTATTGGGTTCAAGGTCTATCGACTACTCAACTGTAATTACGCATATAAAAATTTACCTTCAGTCCACCAGCAGACAATAATACCATACTACCCCAGTTAGAACTTACTGTAAACCTTCAGTGAATATACATTGATAAATACACTGTACTGTGTCTTTGGTGTTATTGTTTCACCAATACTTATATAATTACCACTTAGTTTATTCATATATGTCAAGTTCGGATGTTAAAGTTACCATGTTGGTGATAACGATCATATCCATTCGGGGTGAAGGGGGGGGGGTAATTAATGTGTAATGAGTTTAAGTCATTACCGGTAATACCAACTTTATTGGTAGTTGTATACATGTGTTTGGCATGTAATATTTCACATTGTGTTAGTATTATTTAAGGTCTTGTGACATTTTAGTATACTTATCTTCGCTTGTATTTGTATCAATGTTTTATATTTTGTGGTGATGTTAGTTTCATTGGTAAATAAACATGTGCATAGGTAGCCTTTGAGTTCTGTTGAACTTCAGTGTTACATTGTTCTATGTAATATTAATCTTTTGCATGTATTTAGACGACCTGGTTGAGGTGTCACTGTGTTGGATTCTTGTGTATTAATCTGTTCTGTGTTTTATATCAACTTGTATTTGTATTGCTTTAAATAAAATATAAAAAAAAAAAGATAAATACACACCACTCTGTATACATCATGGCAGATATTATTATTCATGAATTTCTTTAAAAGCTTACCTGAAGAATACAAATATCTGATTTGTTACAATATTCCGTCATAAATAAGATCCACAAAGCCTAGTAGATCAAGTGTTCAGTAGAAGATTACGACATAATACAACACTTGGGTATCTTGACTGTGCAGACCTTTCGCCAGCCAGTGTCTTTTATCACTTTAATACAGAGATTATTATTGGAGACGGATAAGGACTACTGGTTGGCAAAACGTCTCTACAGTATAGATACCCAAGTGTTGCACATGTGCCTTAATATTACTAGTGATGAATGTTGCTACATCAAGTGCTGGGTGTTACTACGTCTTATGTTGGGTGTTGCTACGTCTAGTGCTGGGTGTTGCTATGTCTAGTGCTGGGTGTTACGTCTCGTGTTGGGTGTTGCTACGTCTAATGCTGGGTGCTGCTACGTCTAATATTGGGTGTTGCTACGTCTAATGCTGGGTGTTGTTAGGTCTAGTGCTGGGGGTTGCTACGTCTAATGCTGGGTGTTGTTAGGTCTAGTGCTGGGTGTTGCTACGTCTAGTGTTGGATGTTGCTATGTCTAGTGCTGGAAGCTGTTATTATTCATCACAGTCCCACGAACTTAAAACTGCAAGATATTTTGTGCTAGGAACTGGTCGCCTCTAATTCCAAAAAACAAAATATAAGTTACGACTGCAGTATCTGAGACTTTAAAGCTGGGAGCTAGGTGCTGGGTGCTGCTAGACTAGCTCTGGGAGGATGGGTCACCCTTGTGACAGATGCCTACTTCAAACTCCTGATCACTCTGAAATTCGCTTCGAATCTCTTGTATGGGCTTCAGTAGCATGATGGGCATGTCATCATCTCGCCCCTGAAAAGAGAAAAGTAATGAATTCGTATAAACGCATTCACTAATATATATATATATATATATATATATATATATATATATATATATATATATATATATATATATATATATATGCAAGGAATTCGCGAGAGCAGGCGAAATATACACAAACACTGATCTCTGGCTGAAGGAGACTCGAACCTACGAACCTTAGGACAAGGTACGCAGTGCTTTACCAATCTACCCACACTGGACAATACCTTGGCGTATAGCTTGCGCTATACGTTTGATCCAAGGCAGCCAGCTTTCAGGGAGAAGGCTTACAGCTTTTCATCTCATCCCCTGCATGCATCAGCCTTACTAGAGATTTGAACAATGCAAGGAATTCGCGAGAGCAGGCGAAATATACACAAACACTGATCTCTGGCTGAAGGAGACTCGAACCTACGAACCTTAGGACAAGGTACGCAGTGCTTTACCAATCTACCCACACTGGACAATACCTTGGCGTATAGCTTGCGCTATACGTTTGATCCAAAGCAGCCAGCTTTCAGGGAGAAGGCTTACAGCTTTTCATCTCATCCCCTGCATGCATCAGCCTTACTAGAGATTTGAACAATGCAAGGAATTCGCGAGAGCAGGCGAAATATACACAAAAACACTGATCTCTGGCTGAAGGAGACTCGAACCTACGAACCTTAGGACAAGGTACGCAGTGCTTTACCAATCTACCCACACTGGACAATACCTTGGCGTATAGCTTGCGCTATACATATATATATATATATAAATATATATATATATATATTTATATATATATATATATATATATATTATAATATATATATATATATAAAATATTACAAAAATATAGGGAGGTACCACCTCTAGAACTTTTCTGGGGACCCTCATCCTCAGTGAAGACAATACACGTACCTCAGGGGAAACTCAAGGTTCTCCCCGGAGCTGTTTGAATATTTTCTTCTCCTACCACCCCCTATATTTTATGTTATATGTGAACATTTATTAATAAACAGAATACAGTTACAGAAAACAAACATGAATACAATGGTACAATGTATTAAAGATCATGAATTTCCTCCAGCTCCTCCGAAGCCGGACGAGAGCCAAGTATGCAGCAAGCATTTCCCCTCCACTACATCGCTTGCCAAGTGCCTGATAACCCTTTGTTGGCATTGTATAATATCAGTTACATTGACGGAGTTCTTCCTACTTCCTGGACCAATAGTCTCATTGTGCCTAAGCTCCGACAGCCCGATACATTTAGACCGATCTCCTTAACTAGTTGTCTTTGTAAAACTTTTGAAAGAATAATACTTAATAGACTTTACTATAAAATCAGACACCAACTTTCCCCCTACCTCTTTGGGTTCATGAAAGGTAAAAGTGTGCAGAACTGTATTTCCACCTTTCTCACCGCACACACCTCTACTAGTTTTACCACATTTCTTGATCTAAAATCTGCATTTGATATCGCGAACAGAGCCGTTATACTACATGAACTAGCCAAAATGAATATTGGTGGTAGCTTATTCTACTGGATAATAGGATGCCTGTCAAATAGAGTATCCTCTGTCCTCTACCAAGGCTTTAGAAGTGAGTCTAAAGAAATGTCCCTAGGTACACCGCCGTGAGGAGTTCTCAGTCCGATGCTATTTAATATTTTGATAAATGCTCTCCTAAACGCTCTACCTGCCTCACCTAAGCATATAGTTGTAAGCTATGCTGATGACATCATGATCCACACAACAGGGCATAAGAAGATGAGTACCAATCTTAATGAAGTTCAAGCAATTTGTAATCGCCTAGGCCTCATATCTTCCTCTAAAACAAAGATATTAACAAGCAAACGACATCCCCCACCCATCTATTTGCAGGGTGAAAACAATAGCTACGTTAAAACTTACAGATATCTTGGTGTAGATGTACCATTTAACAAATCCACTATACCACAACTAAATAAGAAATGCAAAGATAGGCTAAATGCTCTCAAAGCTGTTGCTGGCTACAACCCCAACTATGGTGCTAATGTGAGAATCGTGAGAATGATGTACATAGTCTATGTTAAGTCCTTAATTGATTATGCTGCTCCCATGTTGATATTAGCTAAAGAAAGTTCTCTCCGACCCTTGGAGTTAATGCAAAATGAAGCTCTCAGAATTATTCTTGGTTGTCCCAAATCTACAAAGGTTCTTAATATGAGGAAGGAGCTTGGTTCTAGCATCAGTGATAGGATTGTTGAGATTAACACTGTATTCGGTAATAGAATGTTGAGAAATGAACCAGACACTGTCACAATGAACCTCACTAAATGTCTAGAAGTAAATACACACAGATCTAAATGGATTGTGAAAACGTGCAATTGCATTAAGTTTTATAACCTTCATGAACTGTATCACTGTAGACAACAAGAGCATTTCACCCCTCCATGGAAGTGTTCATCTAACATCACATACCTGCAAGTGCCTCCCAAGAAGCTCATTGCTAGTAATCCCTTCCTTAAATCACTTGTTAAAGCAACTGCTTAAGAAGAAATTTCTCGCCTAGCTGGCAGTAATGAGTTATCACAAGTAATATATACTGATGGATCTAAACAAGAGTCTTCTGGCAGAGCTGCATCTGCTCTTGTTGCCGCCTCCCTAGTTAATAACGATAAAAACTTGTTGAACTTGGCATAAGAATTAACAATTGGGCGTCTACATTGCAAACTGAACTGTTTACAATCCTAATGGTGCTAAAGCTAACTTATGACACTGAGGTTGACTCTATCATCACTACTGATTCTATGTCATCACTGAATGCTCTTAACTCTTATAATGACTCCAACAACATACTCATTGGAGAAACCAGGTATAGATACTCAAAAATCAGGAACAAAGGAATTAATGTACAATTGCTATGGATCCCATCACACATTGGATTACTCCTTCATGATAAAGTTGATATGTTAGCCAAGAAGAGTACCCAGAAGGAGAATGTAGAATATAACTTTGGTATATCTATGTCTAGCATTAGGAATAGTATTAGGAGAGAAGTAAATAAAGAAAATGATTGTTATAGGAACGCAGTTATAAGCCTGAGTAGATCTATAACCCACTATGATAACATGAACGTAGATAAGTATATTTATGGAGCAACTTGCAATGTGAACAGACTGACTGATGTTGTAGTGGCCAGGCTTAGGCTTGGTTACAAGTACTTCTGGCAGTTTGGGAGACACACAGATGATGATCAAACTAAATGTAAATTATGTGATCAGGCATATGGTCACTGTCTTGAACACTATGTGCTTAATTGTCCACTTATTGAGGAATACAGAGATAGACAGTATAATAACCTATGTGACATGTCAAGATATCTTATTAATGAAAATAAGATACCAGATATACTAAGCAAATTTCCTAAATTTGCTTGTAACAGATAAGTGAACTATAGATATGTAGATTTAAATCCATATGTATTCCTGTTAACCCTTTGGAGCCTAGTTCCTGGGCCTTTTGTGTATCCATATGCTCTTGAGCTACCGTCCACAGGATGGATATGGGGTGCACAATAAACTAACCACATCGGTGGCAAAAATCTAAAAAAAAATCTAACTACATCGCTTGCCAGACTATTCCACTTCCTAACAACTTTGTGGCTGAAGAAATACTTCCTAACATCTCTTTGACTCATCTGAGTCCTCAGCTTCCAATTGTGATCCCTTGTTTCTGTGTCCCATCTCTGGAACATCGTGTCTCTGTCCACCTTGTCTATGTGTGTATGTGTGTGTGTGTGTGTGTGTGTGTGTGTGTGTGTGTGTGTGTGTGTGTGTGTGTGTGTGTGTGTGTGTGTGTGTGTGTGTGTGTGTGTGTGTGTGTGTGTGTGTGTGTGTACTCACCTAGTTGTGGTTGCAGGGGTCGATTCACAGCTCCTGGTCCCGCCTCTTCACTGGTCGCTACTAGGTCACTCTTCCTACTCCATGAGCTTTACCATACTTATTCTTAAGAGATATGTATGGATCCTGCCTCCACTACATCCCATCCCAGACTATTCCGCTTCCTGACAACTCTGTGACTGAAGAAATACTTCCTAACATCCCTGTGATTCATCTGCGTCTTCAACTTCCAACTGTGCCCCCTTGTTGCTGTGCCCCATCTTTGGAACATCCTGTCTCTGTCCACCTTGTCGATTCCTCTCAGTATTTTGTATGTCGTTATCATATCCCCCCCTATCTCCCCTGTCCTCTAGTGTCGCCAGGTCGATTTCCCTTAACCTCTCCTCGTAGGACTGTTGCGTCCCCTGTGTGGGACGCAACAGTCCTAAGGTTTATAATTATTATTGTATGTACGTATATAATTTCCTTTTTCACTTAATATTATATTGCTGATATCTTCATTAGTAGCTAAAATGAAGCTATCTTGCATTATATTATTATCTGACCTTATATTATTAGCTATGTAAATAGGTAGGAAGTGTTTTTGTTGAATTTTGTTGGAAACAGCCTTTGCTAACTACCGTAAGATTGTTAGGGTCAATCGGTCTCTTAGGGGTGTCCTGTGAACCGACTTGATGTAAGGCTTGGAGGCATTTCCTGGGTCAGTCCCTGCCTGCCTCTAGCCCAGGAAACATCTTCTCCTCTGAATGTTTGATCAGACTCGAGTTTTGGGTAGAAAAAGGTTTCGTTGGTGAGCCGGAACCTGTTTCTCGATACTCTGAGTATCAGTGAAAAACAGAGTTATTCCCAGACAGTTATTTTGATATTGACTAAGGTTGTGGTTCTTTCTGACATTCTAAAGTATAGCTTTGGATTTAACTGTATGGTTTCTACGTATTACCATAGTCCAGAAATGTGTTGGGCCGAACTTACATTCGGCATGAAGGAAGTGGTACGATTTCTTAGAGAGATTCTGTTGGAAGATCTGCTGGTTTGTTCCTGCTTCGTTGTGATCGATTGTTATATTCTGATGTTTCGACATGTCTTTACCTTTGTGTTAAGTTCTTGCTTTGTAGGTAACTATGGTTGAAACGATATATTATTCTAGGAATTATCTTGTTTTGGCTTGATTACGAGCCTAGCCACTTCAAGACATTATTTGTATTTGAAAATTACTGAAACTTTCATATACATGTATATAAATATATATAAATTATGTAAGACTTGTATCTATGAGAATATCATTGTAATATAGTATTCTCTAAGTTGTACTGTAAGTCAAGTGCCTTAAGCACTATAGTACCAAAGGTACTGTTCAGTTAGGTTAGGTAAGGTTTGTCAGGAAACAGAACAAGTGTTTGCTGACGCAGGTCTTAGATGATGACCCGCCTCTGGAGCTTTGGTCATCTGACCGAGGCCTTCCGCTGGCTTACCGGTCCACCCCTTTAAAAATAATGGCCATTTATAACCAATTATTAGCTATACTATTCAGTATTACCCAACGAGAGAAAAACTTTGTATCACACTCCATATATTAAAGATAATAAAATTTTATTTTGTCGGCTCACTGCCTCCTAGTTATCATCCCAGATTTATAGAATGATGGTATTTCTACCAAAGGATAACTAGACCTGTCTTTGATCCAATACTTGTAACGAAAGAGAAAGCTATTAGAGGCTAAATACGTAAAGGGATTCATTCAAGGACTCCATGGAGTTATCTTCACTCTTTAATTGTGTAACCCAACAACACATAAAATTTCTCTTTTTGTAACAAGAACATTCTCCTTAGCTCCGGGTCTAGTCTTGTTTCCTTACGTGCTTGGCTAGGTGTTGGTTACAAATTGGTGCTGCATACTCCAATATAGGCCTAAAGTATACAGTGTACAGGGTCCTGAACGATTCCTTATTAAAATGTCGGAATGCTGTTCTTAGATTTGCTAGGCGCCCGTATACTGCAGCAGTTATTTGGTTGATGTGCGCCTCAGGAGATGTGCCTGGTGTTATACTCACCCCAAGATCCTTTTCCTTGAGTGAGGTTTGTAGTCTCTAGCCCCCTAGACTGTACTCCGTCTGCTGTCTTATTTGCCCTTCCCCAATCTTCATGACTTTGCACTTGGTGGGGTTGAACTCCAGGGGCCAGTTGCTGGACCAGGGCTGCAGCCTGTCCAGATCCCTTTGTAGTTCTGCCTTGCCATCGTGCGACTGAATTCTCATCAACTTCTCATCACCTGCAAACAGGGACACTTCTGAGTCTATTCCTTCAGTCATGCCGTTCAGATACCAGAAACAGCACCGGTCCTAACGTTATTCAGGCTAAAACGTTGTGTAGCTTTAAAAATAGGTTAGATAAATACATGAGTGGGTGTGAGTTGGACCTGACTAGCCTGTGCTGCTGGGTCTGGTGCCGTGCTCCTTCGTTGAGTGGAGGTGACCAGACTAGGTGGGTCATTGGGCTAATCCCGGGGGGGGTGGTCATTGGGTTAATCTGGGGGAGGACATGGACCTGCTCCGTATGGGTCAGTAGGCCTGTTGCAGTGTTCCTTCTTTCTTATGTTCTTCTTATGTTAACGGTATTATGGGTTAGTCGTGTATTGCTACAGCCACGATACTGTGGCTTAGTTGTGAATTGTTTCAGCCAAGGTATGTGACTTATCTTTTTATACGAAAACAAATGATAGACGAAGAATTCCGTATGTTCTTATTCTTATTATTCAGTAGGAAGCGCAACACATCTAGGGTTTCTAAAGCTACTGGGGAAAAGGAGTTGAATGAGGTTTCCTCCCCTGGCATGAAGGAAGCCTCTCTGAAGGGTTTCCATACCTGAAACAGTATTTCTCCTTCGAAATCGACTAGGCCGTACTTCCTGGCTCTGAGCAGCATCCCTACCACCTTGTTGGAGATGCGAGTGTAGATCTGACATGAAAGATACACAGATTAGCATTACTCAGAGAGAGAGAGAGAGAGAGAGAGAGAGAGAGAGAGAATGAACAATCCTCTAGGATATATCAGTATATTAGGCTTGGTATTACGGTGGGGGGCGAGTGTCGAGGGCTAAATATTACTGTTGGTTCTATGTCACATATTAACAGTGACAAATATCTGCTTTGCTAATTTTCATTGTATTATGTTGACAGGTGACCACGAAAGCACGATGATAGTTTAAGAGGACAGTTGTGTTGCAGAGGTCTGAGACCTCCGCAAAACAATTGTCCGCAAAGATTTGTTAATTTATACCATGAATTAAGAAAAGATCCTGGACTTCACCTTACGAAACAGACAAAGTAAATGCGATAGTAATTATGGACAAGGTAGATTATAGTGGAAAAATGAACAAGTTATTAGAAGATGGGGGAACTCGTGTGCCCCTCAATGTGAAGCTAGTAGTGGACTGTGTACTATCATTGTGGATCTGACTTCAGTGATGCCTAAGAGAGCTCGAGATGATGTCAATATTTACAACCAGACAAAGCACTTCATCTGTGAGGACAGACTTAAAAAGTAACTCGCAACACTAGAGACACTAAGACTGCAGAGACATGGTCACAGCATGCAAGATACTTTGATGTATCGTAGAGATAGAAAAAAGGCAGTAATTACAGTATTATTAAATTATTCTCATGGCGAAGCCACCAAACACATAACGGCCACCCAGCTGTTCCAGGAAACAATAAAACCAACACAGTTTCAACCATCATATTAACAGCATACAATACCGCAACGTTGATGAAAAATACACATGTGCAACACTTAGATACATTTATTGCAGAAACATGTCTGCCTGATTCCGAAATACTCAGGTGTTGCGCATGTGTTATATTTACATTTTCATCCAGCTGAAAGATTGATTAATGACCTGTCTACGCCAGTAAGTAAGCTGTGGATGACATACTTGGAAGAGGTCGCCGAAGCAGATGGCAGCGGTGCCGTCTTCGTTCTGCTGGCCCTCTTGGTAAATCATGTCACAGAGTAACACCACCTCGGCGTTGATGTGCCTCGCTGCCTGCTTCCCACGACGCTCTGACTTGCTGCCTGCCACCGGTCTGAAACATGCATACAGGTCTGAGACACAAAGAGCTCGAAGTCCACATCACAGCCCCGACACATGCAGCTCTGGGGGGATAGGCGCGCGCGCGCACACACACCACACACACACACACACACACACACACACACACACACACACACACACACACATACACACATACACGAGTCACAGGGACGTTAGGAAGTATTTCTTCAGTCACAGAGTTGTCAGCAAGTGGAATAGCCTAGCAAGTGAAGTAGTGGAGGCAGGAACCATACATAGTTTTAAGAAGAGGTATGACAAAGCTCAGGAAGCAGAGAGAGAGAGGATCCAGTAGCGATCAGTGAAGAGGCGGGGCCAGGAGTTGAGTCTCGACCCCTGCAACCACAATTAGGTGAGTACAATTAGGTGAGTACACACACACACACACACACACACACACACACACACACACACACCACCCTAAATCCCCTTCAAACAGAAAAATCAACGCTCACTTAGCTTTCATCACCGCAAATACTTCTGGAAGGTATACCTGGGTGCTTGGTAAAAATGCTTAGTGATATATAAGAGGAACACACAGACAAAAAGTGGCCAGTTTAAGAACGGTGTGAAAAGGGTCTTATGATTGAAACATCAGCTCATAAAAGACAACAGAATTAGAATGAATAGGACACATGGTAAGTAAGTTTATTCACGTATACACGAATAGTTACATAGATTATTATACATAGCAGCAAATGTGTAGAGAACCTAGGATAACCCAAAAAAGTCAGACTTATTTCCACTGGGGTCCTTTGAGGGTGAGAGAGAATGCCTAAGATGACTGATTAAAGAGAGGAGATAATGAATCATAATTTGAATGAGAATACGAAACCGAGGTTAACTGAAATGAACATGACAGTAGTATATCAGGGAGAATATGACACAAGGTAAGATCGGCAGGTGCGTATACAATCTCACCAAATAGAAATTTAATAAAAGTAGAACTATAGGAAAAAACTGAAATATCAAATAACGATAGGAAGAGCATGTTTATAGACATGGATAATTACCGGTGACTCGGCCATGTGCTTACCACGCTTACTGCAGTACCATGCTTCAGATTCTGCCATAGCATATTTTATTTTACGCCAGTGACCAATAAGATTACGGATGCTGGCATGGCATATCACATGCCTTTGATCAGTTTGATATAGATCTTGGCATAGAATGCCTTATTACATGCTAATGAACATGTAGGTTATTTACAATCCCATTCCTCTACAAACTTTGAGTTAAATTATTCCCTTAACATAGCACCTCCCAACCCAAACTAGCCAGCGGTCAGCTTCACGCCTCAGCAAGTATCTTCCTACTCTCCAAACTGAGCCAATCTAACTCGCATTTTCACGAAAAACTTGCCCAACCTGCCATTTCTGCCAGCATTTAATACAAAGCGTGGAGATTACAATAATTGATATTTGAATTAAGTCAAAAGATGTATGCCAGCTTCTGGTGTTCTTTCCTACATATGTCAAGTAATCCGATCATTTAATGTGGATATTAACATCATATACTGGGGGAATATCAGATACTTAGCCATTTCATATTGTCTTTAAACTTCTAAATAAACGTCCTATATCAATCCAAAATTCTTCTCACTTGCCTCATTTGCATCAACAATAGTAAAATTTACATTATCCTGACCAACAACGTATTTGGTTCAGTCATCAAATGTCACATACATCATTTTCTTGTCCCAGGATAATTTTTTCTCACCTTCCTACGGTTCTTATGATGGAAATGCGCAGTGGCAGCACATTGGTTCATTACCCAAAGAACCATGGTTAAATTCAGGGTGGGGAGAGGCATAGCATATGAGAGTCTTGTGACACCTACTGCCTGTTACACAGGTTTAAATAGATACCTAGAAGTTAGATGACTGCTGTGGCGTCGCATCCTGGAAGAGGACCTAAAAAATGAACCCAAACGGAAATATAAGCTTAGCTGCTTGGCATTTTTTAGTTATCCAGGATCATTTAACCCCTGGGGTTATTAAAACAATAATCTCCAGCAGATCCATTTCAAGAACAAAACATTTTGGGTTCCGAATCACCTATGAACAATAACAAAGATCCTGAAACATGTTTGTATTAGAGATGTGTTCAGATTGTCCAGGGTATGTGTTTGTGCTTCTCCGATAATTTAATTGCTTTATGTACCCCAGAACCTTTCTGTGGGCGGTAGTAAATGCTTACCGAGGCACGCTGTGGGTCCAGGAACTGGTCATAATACCACGCAAAAGAAACCTCCAATAACTTTTAATGCGGAGTAACGAAAATCTTAGCGTGGGTCTGGGGGTTAGTATTCTCCTAAATTGCACTTAGTAACTGCTACATCGATCACAAATTACACGTACAATGTGTGGCAGTATGTCAGCCATGACAAGTTACAGCTGTTAATACTGTTAATACAACAACCGACAGAATGTAAATAAAACAACAATGAAGGTTATTGTATTTAATTGTGAAAATGTCCGCCAGGGACTATTATTTCACAAAGAGAATTGTGTGAATTGATAATGTCCCTGGTGGACGAACCGTCTTCACAATAAAATACCATAATCGGCATTCTGTCCATAGAACGCTGTGGTAAAAAAAGAATCACAATTCATCTGTACGTTGTCAACCATACTTCACTCCCTCAAACAGAGATTAATATTAACTCTATGTATGTAGACTGAGAGATGGTTGAACTACTCACTTGCCGTAGTTGGGATCGTCTCTGGAGAGCCTAGTCGAACTCTGATTCTTGAAGTTTCCGCTGAATGGGTTGGTCGCCATTTTCTTCGTGTGTTTCTTGACACTCTCATCAAACATTTTTTTTTTCTCGGATAAGCTTGAGTGTCGCAACTCAAATGGCTGCTGGATATACGAATAAGGCAACTTGTATATAGCAAATGTTTGTAATCATATAAACTCACTATAATGTCTTGAAGTTAATACCCAATGTAGCTTATTATTCTTTTGTAGCTTGAGACTAATACCTTGGGTAGCTTGAAGCTAATGCCTAGAGTAGCATTTTATGACAAAGAACTTGATTTAACATTCTTATTGGAAAACCCAACGATAGATATTCACAAATCACAAAGAAATTATATAGTTCTTATGAATTCTACAAGAAGCTCAATGTAACAATCCGTTTGTGCCAGGTATTAGAAATATTAGGTGAGACATAAATAACGAATCACAATATCATAGAAATGTAATTAGAACCCTCAGTATATCCAAGAAAGTCAAACAAAGTGACTTATTTCCAATACTGAAACTATGTACTGTGCCAAAACAAAAGCATTCACATTGCTAAACTCACAAACTAGTATTTAGTCACTTAGCCATAATACCAACTTACCTCATAATTTGTAATATTTTAAAATAAAGACTTAAACTAAGTCTGCCCGAAATGCCTAGCCATGCTAGGCGTTCTAGTGGTACACTCTGTAATCATTATTTAACTACATGTAAACCACACAACAACCAAATTCTGTAAATTCAACATTGTAATCTTTATAGAGAATAAACTTTGAATTGAATTGAACTGGGGTCCATGTGATACTATACCTTATTATTAAAACATTCAAGGGAGATATACAGGGAATAACGTAAACCGAGTTATTAACAATTACATCAAAGACAGGATTGATCACAGTAATAGGTACATAGATAAGATTTCGTTCGGATTTTTAACCCCGGAGGGTTAGCCACCCAGGATAACCCAAGAAAGTCAGTGCGTCATCGAGGACTGTCTAACTTATTTCCATTGAGGTCCTTAATCTTGTCCCCCAGGATGCGACCCACACCAGTCGACTAACACCCAGGTACCTATTTGCTGCTAGGTGAACAGGACAACAGGTGTAAGGAAACGTGTCGGAATGTTTCCACCCGCCGGGAATCGAACCCGGGCCCTCCGTGTGTGAAGCGGGAGCTTTAGCCACCAGGCCACCGGGCCACCTGTATGTTAGTTATACCAGAAATCACTCTCCTCCCTTTCTGTCAAAACATTCATATTTACCTTTTGGCTGTCTTCTCGAAATGGCTCATGTTGTGACAGGGTTTGACATGTACAGGCTGTGTGTTCCGCTCCTTTACTGCTGTACAATAAAATGTTTGAAGCCTGGCCACTGACTGTGCGTACTACTAAGTTATGCTCCCTTCCCCTAGTACTATGATTGCTTTGGTTTTCAGCCTCGACAAACTTGGCAGCAAGATATTCTGGCCACTGCGAGCAATTTTATAAATGTGATTTAACTTCAGTTGTTTTACTCTGTCTTCAACATTCAGCATATCCGGTTGTAATTCATCTTGGCCTACATGCTCTCTTGGACCCAAGTCCAGGATGAATTTCACCATTTTGCTCTGGGTGATTTGTAGTCTATCAGTTTTTGTGTCAAGGCAGAGTACCATGAAGAGCAAGACATTGTATAAGAGGTAGACATAAGATCCTGCGAGCTTCAGTAGGTAGACAATGTGCTAGTCTGTAGAGGAACTTAAGTCTGGCATTAACTTTTTTTACTGCTGTTCCCTATCAATTCTCCTGACATGCCTGGGTCAAAGGGGATTCCCAGGTATTTCACTGAGAAATCTGAAGTGATGGGTTCCCCATTACACTGGATATTAAAACTGTTTGCCCTTTTCAGCTTACTTTTCGTGCCAAAGAGTATGGCTTCCGTTTTCCCGAGGTGTAACGATAATTTGTTGTCTGCTAACCATTTGCTGCAGGACTCTAGTTCTAGTGATAGTACATTAGCTATATCTTGTGGGTCTTTACCTGACACTAACAGTGCACTGTCATCTGCATACAATAGAAGTTTACATCTGACACTGATGGGAATGTCATGTACATAAGAACAATAGGAGACCCAAAATACTACCTTGGGGAACTCCACATGCTATGGGCAGGGATTCTGATTCTGTGTTGTTGATTTTGAAAATTTGTTTCCTATTGCTCAAGTAGGACTTAAACTAGTGTACAGGATCTATGCCCATAGCTTGTAGTTTCTTACATAATACATTGTGGTTGACCGTATCAAAGGCGTTTTACAAGTCCAACGATACCATACCTCTGAGATTCCCAAGCGACATTTCAGTTCTCAGGTAGTCAGTTTAATTAGGGAGGTGTCAGTCGAGTAATATCTCCCAAAACCTGACTGGTAACTATGGAGAGTGTTATCATCATTAAGATAACTAACTGACAATACCTGGAGTTTACCTGGAGAGAGTTCCGGGGGTCAACGCCCCCGCGGCCCGGTCTGTGACCAGGCCTCCTGGTGGATCAGAGCCTGATCAACCAGGCTGTTGCTGCTGGCTGCACGCAAACCAACGTACGAGCCACAGCCCGGCTGATCAGGAACTGACTTTAGGTGCTTGTCCAGTGCCTTTCTAAATTTTTTGGGGTCCAGATAAAATAAAAT